CAACGTGCCAAATTCAAAGAGCTGCAGAGTTGACCTGCCATAGAAAACAGCACCCCCTCGCCGCTTAACGGCAAAAGAGGCTAAACAGTTGGCTCTCGTGGCCTAGAGGTTAAGGTGTTCGTCTCTCATTCAAAGGTCCCGGATTCGAATCCGGGTAGCCATGGAAAAATTTTATAGTCTAAAATGTTCTCTTTTCACATCATTTCCTGCTCTCTAACAACGTTCAGTCGTCTGTTTTTGTCTCCACTTTCTGTCCCACCTCCTCACCTCCTTTGCCCCTCCTCTGGGCCCACTCATAATTTGACCTTATGCAGTCGCGAGGGCCGTAAAATGTTTACCAAACAAATCAAAGAGTAGTCCATTAAAAAGGTTTTATTACACTTCATAGGTCAAAAGAGTACTGAGTTGATGGACGACGTTGCACCTCAAGGCAGTCCTTTGGCTCCTCCTTGGAGAACGGAGGCAGGGTGGGGGCGGGTGGAGCGTGGGTGGGCGAGATGAAGGGTCCTTGTACTCAAGCGTTGCTAGCACTACGCAAGCGTGTGAATAAGTTTGTGAGTGTGCAGGTGTGTGAGTGTGTGTGTATTTGAGTGCATGTGTTTTTCAGAGAGGTTTAAAGAGTGCTAGTGAGAGACAGAGAGACAGAGAGACAGAGAGACAGAGAGACAGAGAGAAAGAAAGAAAGAGAGAGAGAGAAACAGCGAGAGAGGGGGTGGGGAAAGGTCCCTTGAGAAAACGAGAAACGGACACAAAACAGATAGAGAAAAAAGGGAGAGAATAGAGATCCGCGATTGATTTGATCGAAATATTTCCCACTACTAGGTTTTTTGAAAACATATTGCAATGAATTTAAACTTAAGATTTGCAGATCATACAAAAAACGAAATTTAATATAATCACTCAAAATAAAGACAAAAGTAAATACAGTGCTCATTGCATGTGTGTGTGTGGGGGGGGGGGGGGGGGACAAGAACAACGTTAGGGCATACTTACTGGGGTCAGGCTTCTTGGTAGGCGGGGACGGATGGGGTGGGTAAGGGGTAGGCACTGGGAACGGGAAAATAGGGACGTCATCATCTCCACCCGGGATAAGGCCGGAGCCCCCTCCAGCACCACCGCCTGAGCTCCCTCCGCCGTTGTTGTTGATGACTAACTGGAACCCACCACTGTCACCACCGTCATGCGCTTCAATGCTCGAGTCTCCGCCCCCAAAACCTCCGATTGGTGGAAAAGGGTTGACTCCAACCTCTCCGCTAGAATCACCCCCTGCGGGCTTGTAACCGCCTGGAGCGATCCAATTCCAACCGCCTTTCCATGTTGCTTCCTGACTTGAATCCCCGCCCATTCCCCCGCCCCCAAAGACATTTCCTCCTCCGAAGACATTGTTCCATCCCATACCAGCTCCGCCCCCTCCAAATCCTCCTTCCCCGCTGTCATCACCTCCGAGTCCGCCTCCAAAATTATAGCCGTACGCTGCATAAGGATTCGCGGCGTACGCATTGTAATACGTCTGGCCGTAGGGATTGCCCTGTGCCTGCGCTTGCTGTTGTGGCTGGAGGCCTTGGGTGCCGTAGTAGTTTGCAGCGCTGTAAGGGTTGGCATTGTAGCCAGCGCCCTGGTAGTTATTGTAGTAGTTGCTGGGGTAGTTGTAGGACTGGGCGTACCCGCCGTACCCGCCCCCTTCACCACTGTCACCACCGCCGCCGTAGCCTTGGTATCCACCGTAGCCTGAGGATAAGAGAGGGACAAAAAGTGTTCGGGTGACATTCAAAACGATAATAGATAGATAGATAGATAGATAGATAGATAGATAGATAGATAGATAGATAGATAGATAGATAGATAGATAGATAGATAGATAGATAGATGGACGGGTAGATAGATAGATAGATAGATAGATAGATAGATAGATAGATAGATAGATAGATAGATAGATGGACGGGTAGATAGATAGATAGATAGATAGATAGATAAATAGATAGATAGATAGATAGATAGATAGATAGATAGATAGATAGATAGATAGATAGATAGATAGATAGATAGATAGATGGATGGACGGGTAGACATATAGAAAGAAAAACAGGCAGAGACAGGAAAACCGCGAAAGAATAAAAATGGAGGTCGGGGGTTTAGTTGAGGCTTTGGTACCTTGCGGGGCTACAGTGGAGATGAATCACTTTTAATACCAAAAACACGGTGGCTTAGGGAGTTTCAAGAATCTCAACGCACTTCACTTTTTCCTCTCGGATAATGGGCGATAAATACACAGGTGCCGCTATCTGATCAAAATGATCTCACATTGTTCCATCCCATACCAGCTCCGCCCCCTCCAAATCCTCCTTTTTAGACTGGCAGTCTAGCCGTACTTAGATCTAGGTTTGGCCCTATTGACTCAAGCCTGTTAAGTACACAGGTTTCATTAGATCTAGATCTAGTAATTATTCAGGTTCAAATACATGCAAGTCAGTAAGGCACCTTTTGGTTTTGTCTGAAATACAAATACTTTAGGCATTGCAAACTAAAAATTTCATTTACAATTCAGCCATCAGTATTAAGTACGGCTAGCCTGACAGTCTAGCCGTCCTTAAGTACGGCTAGCCTGGCTGTCTAGCCGTCCTTAAGTACGGCTAGACAAGAAGTCTAGCCGTACTTAAATACGGCTAGACAAGAAGTCTAGCCGTACTTATCTTAGGCCCTATTAACATTAAAAAACAGGAGGTTTAAGATACATCCACTGTCATTAAGGCACCTGGTTTTGTCTCAAATACAAATACTTTAGGTACTGCACACTAAAAATGTATATTTACAATTCAGTAGGCCTATTTTTTTTAATGGTCAGTCTAGCCATCATATTTAGAATAAGTACGGCTAGACTGCCAGTCTAGCCGTCATTAAGTACGGCTAGCCTCTTCCTTGTTTTGAAGAACCTATCACTTGGACATCTTCATAAGTGAGCCTATTTGAAATACTAAAAATATTAAAATCAGATGTACCCCTTTCTTTTTTAAGCGTTGTCCCTCAAAGCATGTAATATGCATCCTTTTGAAAGTGATAAAAGTGCTGTGTTCTAGAATCAACATTTTGCTTGACGCGACCCTTTGCTCAGAGGTCAGCATGAAACAAACCTAGATAGAAAAGGTTGTAAGAACAAATTGCTGATAGCTTCCCAACAAAATGAACACGTTAACTCCTGTTTCAGAAAAGTTGTGAAGCATGAGTGATATCCTGTAAGTGGAAAAATTGCGTCCAGTTTTGTTAGGAGTGAGGACTGTTGATATTGACTTAATATCAATAGAATTGACTGCACGTCCTTGTACAGTTTGTCGAGGGCGAATGCAGCTTAGCAATAGAAAGACAGTGTGTACGACAGAGAAAGACAAAGACAGAGAGAGAAAGAGTGAAGGGGAGAGGGGTGAGAGAGAGAGAGAGAGAGAGAGAGAGAGAGAGAAAATAGAGAGAGAGGAAAAGAAAGAGAGAGAGAGGAAAAGAAAGAGAGAGAGAGAGAGAGAGAGAGAGAGGGGGGGGGGAGGGGGGATTGTTATCTATTTACTCCATTGACAAAATATGTTTTTATAAATGTATGATATTGGCCGTGCAGGCAGAAAAGAAAAGAAAACAAACAAACAACAACAACAATAACATTTTTAAAAAGCAAATAAGGAAGGCAAGGAAAGCAAAACAGCCCACCGGGATTTGTTCTCACTCCCTCCATGTTTCCGCTTATTTTCTTTTTCTTAATTAGGTGTGTGGCAGGATTCGTTTGAAAAGTGAAAAAAAGGTGCACTAATGTCATAGTTATACAAACTGAATGCTTCTTTCAGTATTCTTGATTGTCTTAGAGATTAGATTTACTATTTTTTCTAGCCCACCAACTCCGACAGGATTATTCGTAGCTAACAGTACATCCTAAAATGTGCCGAAAAGGGGCCTATTTTAAAAAAAATAATCCAAACAGAAGTTCATTTTAGAAGCAGATTTCCGTTTGAACTGCGAGGCATGGGCTCGACTGACAAAAAAGAATGTCCCCACTAACTGGCAGAACTGGATTTCTAACCAATGGCTCAAGGTATCATCGTCTCCAGCTTTCAAGATGCGTGGATCATTACAGTTTGCAAAAGGTTTTCGTTCCCTTTAGGGAGGTTTTTACACCTACATCAATCACAATTATACGATGTTAGTTTACAGGTTCTTCTCCTGAAAACAAGAGTTGACTGATAATGAGTGGGAGAACACAGTTGCCGGGTTTTTTTTGGGGGGTCTTTTGGGGGAGGGGGAGGGTGTTTTTTGGTTCTGCATTTTAAAAAAAATTCTCTGGTTGTTACTTTGTTCTAATTTTTTCATTTGTGACATCAGTTATAGTGGCACAAAACCATAAAGATGTATACGTATATTTTAGCTTATTGTACATAATAAAGGTTTTGATTCTAGCTCAGACTGGAGAAAGAGAATTGAGGTCGAGGTGGACACTGTGAAACATATTTGGAAAACGCAAATAGATAAGAGACAAGAAAACGCCAGAGAGGGACAGAAAGGGAAAGAGGGGTGAGAGAGAGAGAGAGAGAGAGAGAGAGAGTAGTTTAGAAATTGATGAGGCACGAACAAATTGTTCCCCTTTCAATATTCTGTGAGCGTGAATATTTCCAATTGCACGTTAATATCAACGTTTTCCATGACAGTAGAGAAAGATGGGTTTCATGATGTACTCACCGTAAGGCCAGCCAAACATCGAGAAACCTGCATCATCATCTGCGTTCCCGGTTGTGATCACAAGTGACAGCAGAAAAAGTGCACAAAGCAATGTCCAAGTCCTTTCCATTGTGTATGAGTATCCTTCCGCTGTCAGCAAAATAAACCTCTTCACACTTCTCGTGAGTTACCACTCAAAGCAGTACTCTTACTTTTGGGCTTTTTCTGTATTTTTGTGTTTATTCTTTTTTTGTTAGAATCTATTTTTAATGTTTCTCCGAGAAAAAAGTAGATTCCGTTTTCAAGATTACTTTTTTTTTTTTGGGGGGGGGGGGGGGGTTGAGCTAAAACATACAATAGGGGAATGGCTTTTTACTTGTTCACGAATCTGATAAGTTATGATACAAAGAATGAGTCAGCGAGTCACAGCCTGTGTAGAGAAATAGCACTCGCTACCACCAGCTCTGTGATTACTGCACTCTGGATTCGGCCACACGCTCCGCTTCTTTTACGATTTCGACCTGATGAAGAAAGGGAAAAGAGAATGACAACAATAAATCGGAGAAGTATCCTGAAGTGTGGGAAACTTCATTTTCTCAGGGTCGATGAAAAGAGAAAGTGAGATGATTTTTTTGGAAGGGGGGGTGGAGATGTCTTTTATTTTCTGTTGTTTTTAAGATTGTCTTTCTTTTTTCTGTGTTTACTATGTTTCATAGGCAAAAAGTATACTTTACATTTTTTCCTGTTTGGAAATACTGCATATTGGAGAAAAAAATCAAGAGAAACTGAAATCGAGTTTGTGACTATGGTTCCTAAATATTTGTTTTTTATGGTTTGGGTTTGAATCCTGTATCATAATTGCTAGTCTATTTATGACTTGGAACTACCGATTAATTAACGTATTTCTGGAATAGGGTCCTGTCATCCAGGCGGTTAGCCACGAAACCTACAGATAAATAACAAAAAACAAAACCGCTTGCTAAGGGATCCGAACAATGATCATCTATTTTGTAGTCCAGAATGAGACCAAAGAATTTACCTTAACACCCTATCTTTTTTTTTATGTAAAAGGTGTCTTTCTACCCAATCATATGGATTATCCATTTATCATTTTTTTTCAGGCAACGTTAATACATTTTGAAATACATAAAAGTGTCTATTTTTCTGACATACAACGCTTAGAGAAATAGTTAAATGTTTTGAGGTTCTTCTCTTTATTGTATCCGAGACAGACGTCAATTTGTAAGTCCTTTGGGCTCATGTGATCAATATATGTGTCACGACGTGATGGGATCCGGCGCCTGTCAATTTTTGCGCATAGGGGGTTATTGGCATCATCTTAAAGCCTGTCCATTTGCCTTCCTTTTGGTGAAAAATTATCCATCTATGTTGAATACAAGTCAAACTATTTAAGAGTGAAGGAGGTCAGGGTTGCCAGGTTTCAAAGGTAAAATTAGCGAGAAAATGGCAGCCAAAGTTTGGTAACGTCCATTGCCTGAGAGTCTTTGGAAACTGAACATGTACATTTTCTGTGCCTGAAATCAATGTTTATCAGTAAAATCCACACAAAAATGTGTTTTAAATGGACATAAAAGGCGATGAGCCATAAAATTCTTTTTCAATTGTCCATCTACCCCCAAAATGCGGATTTCTTTGATATCATTCATTTTGACGAGCGCCTGATTTTACCACGATGCCTCACGTGTATCAAATGAGTAGTCAAGCTTGGTATCTACTCCACGTGAGCATTGATTGGGAAGATTTCTTTTCGGAGTGTAGCCGATTCCTAAAATAAGAATGCTGGATACCTCAAATGCTGCAAAACACTTGCCAGAAAGATGCACAAGACAAGAATCGCAAGTACATTGCTCTAAAGCTAAATTTTAAAAAGTAAGTTAAAAATTTTAAAGGTTCCTTCAAATAAATCAAATGTACAACAATTGCCCTGATGATGAAAGTGTCCCATGAAAAGTTAATTTCTGGTTGAATTCAAAGGACCTTGTCGCTAGCTGCCAGATAGAAGAAGCGTCACACAAGACTACATTTTTTTTTTTTTATTATAATTTTGGTTAAGAATTGATTCTTATAAGTCGGCACGTCCACTAACAAGACGCTGAACTATTGCTTTTTCTTGTTTTCCTTATTTGTCACAGACACTTTGCTTGCCTGTACTACAACAATTGTGTCCTCATACTAACAATATTATATCAAATCTTTACTCTATTCTGAACATATTGTTATTAATACATACTTATGGCTCGAAATGTGTCTTTTTAATGATAAAAAAGCCAACGTTTGCATATTTCAAAAAAACGTTTTCTGCAGCAGAAAAGGGAATAGACCTGTGACTTGTAAGGGTCAAGAATATTTATCCAGTTGTGAGCAACATCAAATCCAATTATTAAAATGAAACATTAGAGGACCCTACCACGGAGCAAAAATATACAACACCTCTAGTTCACCTGATACACTTAACGCTTATGTCGACAAAGAAAAGCAGAAAGTACCAACATTGTATTGCCTTTTAAATCAAATACGACCTGGCGATAAAGAAGATGATTTATATTGAACGAATACCTCACCAATTTGAACCGATTTTGGTAACTTTCATTCACCACTAAGTTTAAAAAACGCCCAAGACACCAATTCTATCTAGACTAAAAGATTAATTTTGAGATATATTTTTAGAGAAGTTATAAAGCTCAGTTACTGAGACATTCAACATTTTCATTGTCTAAAATCTAGTAGGCAAAACTTAATCAGCATGCCATTATGGATCGATGTAATGAAATGATTGTTTCTAACTCTTTG